ATTTCACATTTCAGAGGCTTATCAGAGGCTGGATATCTATGCTTTAAAAAAAAGAAACTATCAAAAGCAAGTAAGGAAAATATAGCTTGTCTTCAACACATTTCTAAGATATTATATAAAGGAAAACAAGAATTAGTTCATGGAAGTTTCTATTTCTTTGAGATCAAGTTAATGAAGTCTCTTTTAATCACAGCCTTTAAGGATCTTAATAGTAGGAAAAGAAGCATTTACGCCAGCAATAACTGAACATTTCACCTATTAAGGGGTTAAGTGAATTGTAAAGAGGAGTGGCACATATTAGTAATTAGTGGTAAATCTTAAGACACCAGAAAATTAAAAGGAAAATAGTACCAAAAGTGTAGGTATCATCAAGAAATCACATCATGTACCCACCCCAAATGGTAATAATGAAGCACACACTATCCAAAAACCATCACCATCATCCACTAGGTTCCAAAGTGATGCCTGAATTTACCTATTCACCTGTCCATGAATGTTTATGCCTATCTGTACTGAATTAAAAAACTTGAATTCTTTTTCATTATATTCTAGGTGAAGAGTAGGCGATTGTTACTCAGAATTAATTGGTCCTTTCATCATTTCACTAGTGGTCCCCAACTTCATTAAAAAAAAAATCTGGATGGTTGGGGGAAGCTGATGGGAAAGATGAGGAGGAAAAAAAAAAAAAGAGGCCTTTTATAAGGCCTAATCTAAAACTGGCTGAATTCAGGACTGAAATCTGGGAAAGCACATAAAAAGAGTCATTGCTCTCTCCCCCATATCTACACCACATCTGAAAAGAAATACCTTAGATATGTTTCTAGATTAAAGAGTTAAAGCTGCCAAACTGCCACTGCACAAGAGGCTGAGCAGGTAATAGGCAGTGTGACCAGTTTCTAAACTTTGCTCAAGAGATATAGGTTCAGACACAGTAACTCAGCTTGAGGCAACAATTTAGGACTGGGGACAACGAGTTTAATAACTAAAAGGCAACTGTTTTTCTGAAATTTCAGAATTATTTAAGTTGGGAAGGGTGAAATTTGTCTCTAAAAAGAAATATTCAAAAACTTTCTGATCATATTAAAACAGAATATAAGCAAAACAACATTTTAGTGCTGTTGATATAATCCTTTTAATCCAAATCTATTTATTTTCTTCCTTGCTTACTAACTGCCTCCTGCCCCAAAGATTATATAGAAACAGTCTTGATACCAATCTACGTTATAGCTTCACTTTGCTATTTTTTTGATCTGAGAAAGACACTGGGGCTCATGGTTTAGAAAAGTAAATGAAAAGATAAATTAACACAATTAATACATTTTATTTTAAAGGTTTTAGAAGATGAGGGGAAGAGTTCACAAAAGTTACCTTAATCATTAAAAACCACAAAGTTGGAGAACTTTTAAAAAAAAGAGTGCATACCAAAATAGCTTTTGGGAAGATGACATCTTAATAGTCTCATAAGTTGTTGAAGAAAGCATAAGAAGGCTTAAGATCTGGAGGATAAAAGTTATATTTAAAAACATGCTAAAGAATAATAATGAAAACAAACATAAAAGAATAAGCAAAAAATATATTGTGTCTTAGAGGTAAATCCTGTCATAGATCAATATCATTTCTATAGGACTGTACAGTCCACTTCAACAGTATTCAGATAACAAACATTCTATTACTAAAAGAGCTTCAACACTCCTTTGGAGTTGGCTGTTGAAGAATTCATCCTGCACATAGGGTAAGCATGAAAAACATCCTGAGAGACTCAGAATATCTGCAGTCATGACACTGTTTCCCTAAATTGCACTTACTGGTCTTGAACCCAGTTGAGAGCGGATCAACTACAACTTGAAGCCTGTCCATTCTAGGGTGGGGGAGTAATTTGAAGCCAAAGGGCACTTTGCTCTAGTTAATTCATGTGGCTACACGGATACAAGTTTCTTCTCAATGCCAAATATCTACTGAGAATTAAATGAAACCTCCTAACCATTTCTAAGAATTCATGTGATAAGTATAATCATTACAGAGTTTATATGTGCTCAGTTTTATTAAAGCCATAAATTTTATTCTAGAAAGAAGAAAGTACATGGCATTAATAGACCAAGCATGTCATGAATTCTAGAATAATAAATAAAGTAGCTTCTCTTGTTTTAACAGCCGATTATATCCATGGGCTACAAATTATATCCATGACAAAACTGTTAGAATTTTGAAACATTTCAAGGAAAGATCAATATTTTTGCCTGAGTGTCCCAATAATCTTTACCTAGAACTATTATTCTTGGACTTTCTATAAAAGTTTCTTTTCCAATAATTTATTAATTATAACAACTGGGAAGAAGAGTGTGATGACCTGAATACTT